CAAAAAAAAAAACAAAACAAAACTTTTGGGCTTCTGCAATCCTCTTGCCTCAGCCCTCCAAGTAGCCGGGACTATAGGCGCCTTCCACAACACCCATCTAGTTTTTCTATTTTTAGTAGAGATGGGGTCTAACTCTTGTTCAGGCTGGTCTCAAACTCCTGAACTTAGGCAATCCACTTGACTCAGCCTCCAAGCGTTCTAGGATTATAGGCATGAGCCACCTTGCTTGGCCTCAGATGTAACTTTTAGCTCAGATGTTACTTTTAGATTGTAACTTACACCACTCCTCTTCTTTCCCTGGCCTGTGCAGATATTTGTAATCAAAATCAAACATGGTGCTTCTTCCTCCACTGAGCTCTTCGCTCACCTTACCCCTCACCTGGCCAGATCTCATGGCCAAATGCTGGAAGGGACAGGTCTTTGTAATTCTTTCTTCCCTCCAAGCAGAACAGGACAGTTATACAACCTCTCTCCTAACATCTCCCATGGCAGACATTGCCAATCAATCAGACGGGCTATCTCCTTCCTCTGTATGATAGGTACTGCGTCTGCCCACAACCGAAGTCACTGACCCACCACTATGCTTCCTGACCCCTGGATCTCTATGCGTACTTGTGCCCATAGCTTCACGTTTCCACTGACCAAATTCTGGGAGTCTTCCCTTTGGGAAAAAGCATAACACTCCTGTTGCTCTTTCTTTTGCCCACGGAAAACTTTGCTAATTAATCATGAGATGTGACCCCTCTCCTTTTCTTGCTCATGGCAGAACTATATGGAGATCCTGATGAATGCCATCTCTTGATTATTCCTGCCTTAGGTAAACCGTGTTAATCCATGATAATGCTTTCCTCCGAACCTGAAGAATATGCTGTATACCTGTGTCCTTCACCTGGCCAGATCTCGGGGCTCTACTGGCCTAATACTTGGAGGAAATATTAACCCTTGGTGCTTCGGTCTACTCCTGAGCCAAGATAGGCCATCTATGTTGCTTTTCTTCTTTCTCATGCCCATGGCAGACTTCTTTGCCAATAGCAGACTTTGCTAACCAATCACAGAGTGTGCCATCCTTTTCCTTAACCACAGTAGACATTGCTAATGGATCATGACTTGCAATGCTTTCTGCCATCCCCGATCCACAGCCTTCTCCTTGTCCATGGCAGACAGTGCTAATCAAGCACAGTGTGTCCCACCTCTCCACTATCCCACACCCACATCAGAGAGTGCTAATTGAATCTGATGCCTTTTTCCACTGGTCCCAGGACTCACCTGTGCCTTTCACCTGGAAGTCAGTGCGCCGCTGCAATGTGGATGGCAGCTCATTCAGCCGGAGGCTCAGCTGCCGTTTAAAAGGGGAGTTCTTCTGGCTGAGCGCTGGGAACCCACGGAAAGAGCCCTGGCGAACCAGCTGTTCCAGAGGGGCATGGCGCCGAGGGATGGCAGCTGCAGTGGTGCCTGCAGCTACTGGGGTGCCCGCCTCACCCTTCTCACCAGGAGATGTGGTGGCTGGTGTCGGGGACACGTGCCCAGGTTGGGCAGGGCCGGGAGCTGCAGTGGGAGCAGCTGCTGCCTCTGCTGGAGTCACAGGGGAGACAGGTGGTTAGATGTCTCACCTTGGCACTCAGGGCCTCTTGATCATTCCCCAAGGCTTCTTTCTCACACAATATGTCTTGCCCTCCGACAAGCTAGTCAAAACCCAGAAGGAGCCCTCATTCCCACTGAAGCCAAGATCACCTTCCACAGGAGGCCCTTGGGAAACTGTCCCCCCAACATGACCCTCTGTCTCCCTAGCTTTCTGCCCCTGATCTTACTTGCTCTCTGCTCTCCCATTCTTCCTTCTGACACTTCTGTCCCCCTTTCTGGTCATGTGACAAATGCTTGGTGCATGAACAATGGATCAGGCCTGCTCCAAGTGTTTGCAAGTATCAACTCAATCCACCCAACCACCCATGAGGTTGATCTTATCTTTTTGCAGATGGGGAAACTGAGGCCCAGCAAAAGTAAGTGATTTGCCCGAGTCACACAACTAGCAAGTGACAGGCTGACTCTTGAGTCTGTGCCCCAGACAACTGCCCTGACCTATCTCTCCCTCTGGCCTGATTCTCCCAAACATGCTTTCTTTGCTCTCTGCTCTCTTCTCCATCTCCCTACCTCTCATCATTTTTCCCAGCTCAGGTACTTTCTCCCTTCCTCCAGTTGTTACCAGTCATTCTAGACCTGGCTTGGCACGATTCATCCTTTAAGAAGTTTTCCAGATTGTTCTAGCCCCTCAGCCTGGGCTACCCCCAATGAAGTGTTCTCTGTCCTCTAGGAGGAAACTTGGCCTCCCCACTCAGACTCTGCCCTTAAAGGGCCTGCCTCCCAACCCCCCACCAATCTACACCCTTTCTCCCCAGCTGTAGGAGCTGCAGCTTGAATGCTGCTCTTCTCTATCATCCAGGGTGAGGCAATGAGGCACCCACCCAGGTCTGGCCTGGGGCAGTGGAAAAACAACCCAGGATGAGTTGAGACCAGGAAACTAACTCTGCCCCCATCTCATTATGTGACCTTAGGAAGTCCCCACCCCTCTCGGGGCTCCAGCTTCTCAGCTAGAAATCTGAAATAAACATCCCTATGTTGGCTAGGTCAGTGGCTCATGCCTGTAATCCTAGTACTCTGGGAGACTGAGGTGTATGGATTGCTTTTACTCAGAAGTTCAAGTCCAGCTTGAGCAAGAGCAAGACCCCACTGCTACTAAAAATTTAACTAGCTGGGCGTTGTAGTGGGCACCTGTAGTCCCAGCTATTCAGGAGACTGAGGCAAGAGGATCACTTGAGCCCAGGAGTTTGAGGTTGCTATGAGCTATGATGCCATCGGACTTAGGACTCTACCTAGGGCAACACAGAGACAGTCTGTCTCAAAAAACCAAAAACAACAACAAACATCCATACACTACCTCCCAATGGCCTATTAGAGGGTGAGTCTAGACAGTGAATGTTAAATGGTTTGGAATCCAACAAATGGATGATAAACAACTTTTGGAAAGTACACTGCTTCCTAACTCCTATGCTAGAAAGAGCTTGGAGTTAAAACGCAGTGCCCTAGACTGTGATCTAGCATGGGCACATACTCAGGGCATCAGACCTTGCTGTATGAACCTGTGTTTGGCTGCACAGTGGTCAAGTGCTTTTTGCAATGCAAAGTCCCTAGAAATTAGAATAGTTCCAGGAAACAGCAAAAGCATGGTATATTCTTTATAAACAATAAAACATCATATACGCTGTCATTTTCCTTGTCAACATCACTCTGTAATTGATTCTGTCAGTGATAAAACTCTTGACAAAAAAAAAAATTTTTTTTTTTTAAAGACAAAGTCTCATTTTGTTGCCCTTGGTAGAGTGCCATAGCATCACAGCTCACAGCAACCTCAAACTCTTGGGCTTAAATGATTTTCTCCTGCCACAACACCCAGCTATTTTCTATTTTTTTCAGAGTTGGGGGCTCGCTCTTGCTCAGGCTGGTCTTAAATTCCTGAGCTCAAGGGATCCAACTGCCTTGGCCTCCCAGAGTTTTAGGATTACAGGCATGAACCAGAGCGCCTGGCTTATGCTTCCCAATTTTTTCTTTTTTGAGACAGAGCCTCAAGCTGTCCCCCTGGGTAGAGTGCCGTGGCATCACAGGTCGCAGCAACCTCCAACTCCTGGGCTCAAGTGAGTCTCCTGCCTCCGCCTCCCAAGTAGCTGGGACCACAGGCGCCTGCCACAATGCCCAGCTATTTTTGGTTGCAGCCGTCATTGTTGTTTGGCGGGTCCGGGCTGGGGATTCGAACCCGCCACCTTAGGTATATGTGGCTGGCGCCTTAGCCACTTGAACCACAGGCGCTGAGCCCCCAATTTTTAATGTTTTTGTAGAGAGGGAGTCTCCCTTCGTTGCCCAAGCTGATCTCCAACTCCTGGCCTCAAGTGATGCTCCTGTTTCTCAGCTTCCTGAGTAGTTGGGATTATAGGCACCAGCCACCGGCCTGGCTCCTCTATTTCATTTTTAAAAAATACCAGTCATAATCCAGCAAACTGACTTCATGGGTCTTGAAAAGCCCTGGGAGCCCCCAACTTGGCAGACAGTAAACTACTTGGTGAACTTGGCCTGATTCATGGCCTACAGCATACTTCCCAAAGAACTCCTTAAATTGATGGGTACTCTGCAACCAAACTTTGAGGTTACTACCCTGCTTTGTAAACCACAGAGTCCCTGGACCACTGCAGATCTCCCCCCAAACTTGGTCCCTTGGCCCCACCTTTACCCACTCCATACCCAGCCAGCCCCCTGGGGCAGCACTCACCTTTCTTCTTGTCTGAAGCCTCTCTCTCAGAGGGCCGCCCACCCCCGGACAGGCGGAAGGAGCCTTCCCGGGCGAAGCTGGTACGGCTGGCATCAAAGGCAGCCGTGACCCCACATTCCTTCTCCCGACGCTGTTTTCGCTCCAGGCAGGCGGCAAAAGCACAGCCCACAGCATGGCTCAGCCTCTCGCCCTGTGGGGAGAGGTTGAGGGATGGGTCAGAGACTGTGCTGATGGGACGTACTGGGTGACCCTAGAGGAGTCCCTTCACTTCTCTTTGGGCTTCAGTGCTCTAGGAAGGTCTACAAGTCACAAGTCAAAGAAGCTAAAAGCCTAATGGCACCTGTGGCTCAAAGAATAGGGCTTTGGCCCCATATACCAGGGTTGGCAGGCTCAAACCTGACCCTGGCCTAAACTGCAAAAAAAAAAAAGCCAGAAGCCAATGAGTTCCCGCTGTACAGCTCACTTACCTGAAATTCTAGAAGAGGGAAATTAATCTATGATAAAAGACCAACGGTCACTTCTGGGTGTGAAGTGGGGGGGGGCAGCACAGCATTACTGGAAAGGGGCATAAGGGGATATGTGTGGTTGACAAGGGTTTGGTTACATAGGTATTGTCAAAGTTTACTAAATTTACACTGAAGGCAGTGCACAGCATTGCTGTGGACTGATGTTCCTGTCCTCCCTCCCATTCCCATGTTGAATCCACAACACGACAGGATTAGGAGGGAGGCCTTATGATACGTCATGAGGTAGGGGTCCTCATGGTGGGATTAATGCCCATATAAAAGGAAAAAGACATGAGGCATGTCCCTTTCCCCTCACATGAGGACACAGCAAGAAGGCACCTGTCCACAAAGCAGGAGGACAGAACCCTCATGCTGGCACCTTGATCTCAGGCTCCTACTCTCTGGAATTGTGAGAAAGAAATGATTGTCACCTAAGCTAGCCAGTCTATGGTATTTGTTAGAGCAGCCTGAACTAAGACAAACATGTATTTCCTTTTAAAAGAAAAAGATCTGGGTGGCGCCTGTAGCTCAGTGGGTAGGGCGCCAGTCACATGCACCAAGACTGGCAGGTTTGAACCCAGCCCAGGCCAGCTAGAGCAACAATGACAACAACAAAAATAGCCGGGCATTGTGGTGGGCGCCCATAGTCCCAGCTGCTTGGGAGGCTGAGGCAAGAGAAATGCTTAAGCCTAAGAGTTTGAGGTTGCTATGAGCTATGTGACACCACGGCATTCTACCTATGGTGACAAAGTGAGACTCTGTCTCAAAAAAAAAAAAAAAAGATCTGGAAACAAATATAAACTCTACTTAATGGTATACATGCTGAAGTATTTAGGGGGCAGGAGTCTAATGTCTGCAAATTTGAAATGCATCCCCTCCCAAAATAAGATGGATAGATATGTGATTAAGTAAGCACAGGCAAATGTTAATTGTGGGATGTGAGTGATGGGTGTACAGGTAACTGGTGACTGTACAAGTCTTTCAACTTTGCAACATGGTTGAAAAAGCCATATAATAATGTTGGAGGGGTTTCTTGAGTGCCTCGGTGGGAGGCTCCAAGGTCAGTCAGCTTGAAATTGAGGCTGGCTTCCCATTTCCTAGCTATGTGTTCTTAAGGAAGAAGTCTCTGTTAGTGCTTGAGTTTTCTCACGTGTAAAATGAGGTTCCTAAGAGTACATACTTCACAGGGATATAGCAATAATCACGTAAACTAAGATATGTGAGAAATACAGTATACAGTCAGGCACAGGAATCACTACCTATGTGTCAGGGGAAATCTGTCCAGCCCTAGGCTAAGTCCTGACTTGTATCTTCTCACAGAATCCTTACAATGATGTCAAGAGATGGACACTCTTGTGAACCCATTTTACAGATGAATAAGCCAAAATTTAGGTAGCACATCAACATGCCCATTATTATAAGTGATGGCTAGGATTCAGAGATGTATCTGACTTCTGTTTCCTAACCAAGTTGCTCAGTCCCTTTTTTTTTGTATGTTTGAGACTGAGTCTCACTCTGTCACCCTTGGTAGAGTGCTGTGGCATCATCGCTTACAGCAGCCTCAAACTCCTGGGCTCAAGTGATTCTTTTGTCTCAGCCTTCCAAGTAGCTGGGAGTATAGGTGCCTGCCACAACACCCAGCTAACAGTCACCTCTTAAAAGTTAAATTGGAGGACAAAAATCCTCTACAAAATATTAGCAAACCAAACTCAGCATTAAAAGGATTATACACCACAGTCAAGTGGGATTTATCCCAGGAATGCAAGGTCGGTTCAACATATGAAAATCAATCAATGTAATAGGGAAAAAACATTAATAGGAAATAAAAACACATGAAGGGTAAAAAGCCACATAACCATCTCAACTGGTGCAGAAAAAGTACTTAACAAAATCCTATACTCTTTTATGATCAAAATATTCAACAAACTAGGAATAGAAGAGAACTTCCTCAACCTGATAAGTGAGTTTTATTAAAACCCTGTGACTAACATTATAATTAATGGGGGAAAAAAATGAAAACTTTTCCCCAAGATCAGAAACAAGACAAGGATACTTGATTTTCTTCTATTTAACACTGTATTAGAAATTCTAGCTAGAGTAATTAGACAAGAAAAAAGATGTAAAAGGCATCCAAATTGGGAATAGAGAAGTAAAGTTATCTCTATTTGGAGATGACATGATATTATATAAGGAAAATGTAAACAAATTCATCAAAGTTACAAGATCTAAGATCAACATTCAAAAGTCATTTATATTACTATAAATTAGCAATGAACAATCCAAAAATAAAATTATGACAATTCCATTTATAATTCATGAACATAGGATGAATTTTTTTATTTCCTTGCTTATTTTTTACTTTTATTTCTTTGCTTTTTTTGTTGTTGTTGTTGAGACAGACTTCCACCCTATGCCCTGAGCAGAGTGCAATGACGTCATAGCTCACTGCAACCTCAGACTTAGGCTGTGGGCATCCTGCTGCCTCAGTCTCCAGAAGCTGCTGGGATTACAGGCACTTGCCGTGGCACCCAGCTGGGTTTTTCCATTCTTTTAGGAGTTGGGATCTCACTCTCACTCAGGTAAGTCTCCCTCCTCAGCCTCCCACAGTGATGGGATTACAGGCATGAGCCACCACGCCTGGCAATATTATTTAAAGGAATGAAATGGTTAGGAATAAATATAGCCACAAAGATGCAAGATTGTACAGTGAAAACTACTAAAAGTTGTTGAAATAAATGAAAAACTACCTAAATAAACAGAAAGACATCCTATGTTCACAAATTAGAATACTTAATATTGCTAAAATGGCAATGTTCACCAAAGCGATCTACAGATTTAATGCAATCCCTATCAAAATCCCAATTCTTCTTCATAAATGAAAAAGCTGATCCTAAAGTACATATGAAATTGCAAAGGACAAGAAGAGTCACAGTCCCTAAAAACTCAATGCTAAAAAGTAATTAATATTGGCACCTGCAGAAATAAGCTAATATTGAGACCCCAAATTAAAATATATTGGAGTCTCAAAAGGGGGGAATGAGATAGGATACCCAAGAAAGGTGAAGTCTAGAAGAACAGGTCTTCTCAAGGAGACCAGAAGAATATACCTATGGGGTTCTCTCCATGGTGACTCAGCTTTTGAGAATCTGTAAACCTAACTTTCTGGAACTTGGAAATTTCCAAGTTCTGTGAAATCCTATAGTTCTGTAGGG